AAAAAAAAAGTGGACAACACAAGCTTTTCAAAACAACTAAAAAAAGTTATCTGCGCACATTTATTTGCAAAAAAGTCCCGCCCATCACTTTAAATGAATGGATATGAATGTGAGTGTGTGTTTAAATGGAGAGATGTTTAGTGGAAAAATAATGTGGAGATAAGGTGGATGAGAGAGTGTAAATTGTGATTGAATGAATGTTAACGAATGTGGATGCCCTAATAATTGTCTAAAGCAAACCTATCATTTTGAATACTGTATCTTTAGTTATATCGGTCAATCAATATCAATATACGGTATGTACAATCCAGACCAATAATATTAGTGGCATTACAAAACTAACAAATATTATGATTTATATTTATGTCCACAATAAAAAAATATATATAATAAAAAAAAAAAACTAAATGACCAATATTCATTAAATTTCAACTCAACAACAATCGGTGTTCTCTCAATTTGACACCTTTAAGATAAATATAAATTTTCCTATCAATTTAAATTTTAATTTGTTTTTATAAATTTTTTTTTTAATTGGTCGGTATTTTAAATCGATATTTTATAATTTTCTCAGTAATAATATATCGAATATGATATTTCCTTTGTATAATAACTAGTGTGTATCCCGTGCGATGCACGGGTAAACAATATTAAATATTTATTATAAATAAGTATCGAGTTCGAGTCACCCAATGCAAGAAGTGGAAAACCACTATTAATCATCTCTTAAAAGAGCAAGAAAAAATAAAGATGAGGGTAAACGATATTAAATATTAATTATAAATTAACGATGTAGGGTTAACATGTCATATAATTTATGGTATATCATTTTATTATAAACGATAGAAAATTAGCTTGTTCAAGAGAACATAAAATTTGTATGTTTAACAATTAAAATCTCCTAAGAGATGAATTTCAATTGATTTGAAATTCTTAAACCATTTTGAATTTCGTGTAAAATGAAACCAAAAATTTTGAAATTCATTATGATTTTGTAATTTCCAAGAGGTTTGTTAATTTTTAAAGTGGCACAAAATCCTTCATTAAGGTTATTCGTCCAATGATAGAAGCATGTGATTAGATTTTTTTGTTCAATTTGAACAAAATCCTTCATATTAGGAAGAGATTTTGAACTAAGCCCAATTTTATAGCAACTGAAATGAGAAGTGATTTTGAATTTTAAATTTTCAATTCAAGAAGGTAATTTTTTCGGCAATCTGATTGTTTGGAATAAAAAAACACAATCAATTTTTTAAATAAAAAATGAGAAAGAATTTTGAATTTCAAATTATATTCAATGATCGAAATTTCTAGAATTTAATTGAACCAAATCCACCAATCTAGGCTGAAATGTGATTCACGATTTTCTGTTATCAAAAAAAATTTTTTTTGAAAATTAAATCAACCGCAATTTTGAGAATTGATATTTTTAAAAAAATAAAGAATTCATTAATTTAATGGTATTAGCCGATTTGATGTTCAAAAGGCTTCAAATTGTTTGCAAATACTAAAGTTATTTTTTATTATTTAATCAGTCGTAATTTCTTTTTATAACAAAAAAATAATGCAATTTGGTAATCTTATTTCTGTTAAAAAAATTCTTTAATTTGTGAAAACGAAAATGTTACAACCCGTTCTTGCGCAAATAAATATTGACGATTTTATAATTAGATTAGTTTTGTGTTATTTTTATATATAAAAAAAATATAAAAAGAATAGAATAAAAATATTGTATATTTTGATTATTAAATGAACAGTAGTTTATTTTATTTAAAAATAAAAGTATCCAATTAAAACAATTGTAGTAGCCGAGTTGATGTTAAAAAGAGTTTCTGATTTTTTGTAAATACTAACTTAAGTTTATATTATTAAGTTAGGCGTAATTTATTTTTTTAATAAAATAAAATTTACAATGTGGTACACAATTATATGCTAAAGAAAGTTTTTTTTTTTTGAATTTGTGAAAATAAAAAAGGAACAGCCTAATCTTGAGCAAAAATAAGTAACAAACTTCAATTTAACAAACTCCACATTTAAATGCAACAATTAATGATGCATATGTGTAAATAAAAAAATAAAATAAAAACTTGCTATTAATAGCATGCAATTAATGTTCAAACTATATTTGACCACACTTTGACTTGCCATTTTTAAAAAATGGTAATTCTTTTTATATATAGATTTGCAGAAACAATGACCCATATTTGATATTATCAAAAGATATTCAATTCGAACCTTCGAGAAACGAGATTAGATAGTAATTTTTCAATCTCGAGGAGTACAATTGCAAAAAAATGCCCACGTTTTATAATGGTGATCGATAATTACAATTTACAACACTCCCCAAGTGAGAAAATAAAATATACTATAGCTTGTGAAGAGTTCTTCGGGATCCAAAATTTTCAGGTGATTTTCCCTTTACTTATCTACTCAGTGAGCTCGATTCTGCGTCTTTTGAATCTTTTAAGCGTGTTAATCGTCGAGAAATTGAGTTTAATTGCTTTT